ACCCAGGCGCCCTTTTTGTGTGTTTTTTTGGCAAAATAATAAATTACGTGAGATTGGCATATAGTTGTTGCTGATACATCTCTCAATGTTGGTGGAAATTTTCAAAATAAAAAAAGTTTTTAAAGATTTTTATTTATTTGAGAGAGAGAGCACATGAGTGGGGGTGAGGGAGGGCCATAGAGAGAGGCAGAGGGAGAAGCAGACTCCCCGCCGAGCAGGAAGCCTGAGCAGGAAGCCCAATGCCAGGAAGCCGGACGTGGGTATCCATCCCAGGATCCTGGGATCCTGACCTGAGCTGAAGGCAGACCTTAACCGACTGAGCCACCCAGGCTAAAAAAATAATTTTATACACCACGCAATCACTGGGGTCCTTGAGGATCTCCAAACATTTTGAGCTAGTTGGCTTTCAGCTGCGAGACCTGGTCCTAGCCTTAAAGCTGCCACACGTTAAGTTTGCCACCCAAGGTGGCTGGAATTTTCCCAGCCATAAGGATTCCACTTCAGAGATGAGAGGCATTCTCTAACGGGACTGATAAAGCTCCTGAAGCAGAAAGGAGAGGAGACAAGGGCAGAGGGGACTGGGGCTGAGCAGAGGGCCTCTGAGAGGAGGACCAAGAGCCCCTCAAGGACCAGCATCCCGCCGTGCTCACCAACAGGGGGAGGGAGGACTGCCCTGTAACAGCAGCACGCAACTCTGAAGGAAGGACTCTCTTCTAGTAGTTTGCAGAACCCGAAGAGGGGGCCCAGCAGGACCCTCGAGGGGATCCTGGAGTACCCAGGATGCCAGGGAGGTCATGTCCTTGGTTAATGAGAAGTCCTGACCAATGGTCCCAGGTCCCACAAGGCACTGGGCAGGTTGTTTTGCAAGGACAGCCCTCGACTAAGACAGCCGGGCCCGCACGAACACACTGGAGTTGGTCACACGGGCTCCATAGTGACCAGCCCATAACTGTGTGTCCTGGCCCCGGTGTTCGAAAGACACAAAGCGCAGGCCCATCCTGATGTTGGAGAACACGTGGGTCACCTGAAAGCAGACGTGAAATCGTCCAGGACGTTCTGCCTGGCATCTGGAAGCTGGACAAGGAGCCTGTACTCACAGCCACAGTCGTCTCGGGATCCCCACCATTCAGACACACAAATCTCAATCCTGCCGCTATCTAGCAGCTCTGGCCACAGACCCTCCTCCCCCAGGTCCATGACCTGCTTTTTGTGGCACCACCTGTAGGAAGACACGAAGCAGGTCTGCGAGGGGGCCCCAAGCACCGGTGACATGTTCACCCCCACCACCCGGCCGTCCCCACCGTGCTGCACCGTCCACTTCTGGAAGCCTTCCTGGCCGCAGGGGTTGCGTCCGATCGGGCGGCGCTCGCAGAAGCGGCCCAGGAGGCCGGGCCTGCCGTCGCGGGCGGGGGGCAGGGTGCTTCCCCACCCTGGCCGCAGGGGTTGCGGATGAGGTTGCGTCCGATCGGGCGGCGCTCGCAGAAGCGACCCAGGAGGCTCGGCCTGCCGTCGCGGGCCGGGGGCAGGCAGCTGCGGGCGAGCGGCAGCAGGACGCCGTGGTCCCGGGCCAGGATGAGCAGCCACAGGGCCTGGCAGTCCACCAGGGCGCGCCAGCCCCGGCACACCCGGCGGCAGCACCCCAGCAGGGTGCGCGGGGGCACGTGGCTCAGCACCACCAGGAGCAGCTCCGGCGGCAGTTGGCTCAGGTCCAGCGCCTCCTCGGGTTCGGGCTCCGGCGGGGGGACCCGGGCGGGCCGGCCCCGGGAGGCCGAGGCGCCCATGGTCCCCGCCGACCCCCCGCCAGCCTGCGCCAGGTTCGGCGGTGACTGCGGGAGAGTAAGGTCAAGGTGTCCCAAAAAGCAGGTGTTGGACCCGGAGGAGGAGGGTTTGTGGCCAGAGCTGCTAGATAGTGACAAGATTGAGATTTGTGTCTCTGGTGGGGAGCCCGACGCGACAGTGGCTGTATGAACTGACTCGTTGTCCAACTTCTAGATGCCAGCCAGACTGTCCTGGATAAATTCTCTGCTATGCCCGTTCCCGTCCAACAGTGGAACAACAATGTCTGCTTTCAGATCACCCACGTGTTCTCCAACATCAAGATGGGTATCCGCTTTGTGTCTTTCGAACACTGGGGCCAGGACACGCAGTTCTGGGCTGGTCACTATGGAGCCCGTGTGACCAACTCCAGGGTGGTCGTGCGGGCCTGGTTGTCTTAGTCGAGGGCTGTCCTTGCACAACAACCTGACTGGTGCCTTCCAGGACTGGGGACCACGGGCCAGGACTTCTCATTAACCAAGGGCACGTACCTCCCTGGCATCCTGGGTACGCCAGGATCCCTTCCAGGGTTCTGCCAGGCCCCCTCTTCAGGTTCTAGAAACTACTAGAAGAAAGTTCTTATGTCAAAGTTACCTACTGCTGTTATAGGGCAGTCCTCCCTCCAGAGGCCCTCTGATTCAGCCCCAGTCCCATCTGGCCTGTCTCCTCTCTTTTCTGCTTTCGGGGGGCTTTATCAGTCCCTTTAGAGAAGGCCGCTCATCTCTGAAGTAGAACCTCGTCCTTATGGCCAAGAAAATCCCAGCCACCTTGGGTGGCAAACTTAACAAACCCCTGCAGCTTCAAGGCTCAGACCAGGTCTCACAGCTGAAAGTCAGCCAGCTCAAAAAATAGAGACCCTCGAGGACCCCTGTGATTGTATGGTGTATAAAATTATTTTTTATTTTGAAATTTTCCGCAAACATCAAGAGAATAATATATCAGCAACAACTATCTGCCGATCATATGTAATTGATTTATTTTGCCAAAAAAAAAAAAGAAAGAAAGAAAAAGAAGACATTAGAAACTGGCTTTAAAAACAGGACCAATTCACTTACCATCAAAGTAAACCCTTTCCTGACAATTTTGACAATTCCAAGGTCTGTTCCT